ATAGCTCAGCTGGTAGAGCGGAGGACTGTAGATGTAGAATAGAATTCCTTAGGTCACTGGTTCGAATCCGGTTGGTCGGATCAGTTTTTATACTAATAGATAGGTATAGGGATAGGTATAGGTATAGGAAAAAGAGTATAAATAAGTAGAAATAAGTATATAGTCAAGTACATAAGCATAAATAATAAAGATAATAAAGATAATAAAGATAATAAAGATAATAATAAAGATAATAATAAAGATAATAATAAAGATAATAATAAAGATAATAATAAAGATAATAATAAAGATAATAATAAAGATAATAATAATATAAAGGAATAGAAACATATATAAATATACATAAGTCGTGGTAAAAGAGAAGTAAAGTATAATAAGTATAATAAGTATAATAAGTATAATAAGTATAATAAGTATAATAAGTATAATAAGGAATATAAAGAATAAAGTCTAAGGGGCATATAGTCATGGTAAATCCATTGTGGTGTAGTTGGTAACATACAAGCCTTTCACGTTTGTGCCCCGGGTTCGATTCCCGGCGATGGAATTTTTTAGCAAGAATATATATATATAGTACACATATGTACACTACAAATATTCATCAAATAAATATTACTACAAGACATATATTCTTTTATTGATGTATTCAACTGTCTTTACAATAATTAATTTTATAAAAACAAAATTTATTTGTTTTTATTCTTTTTTATTATCCTTTTATTTTTTATTCTTTTTTTCGTTATCTCCAACTATCATTTTTTACTTTTTCTTGTTAATTCTTATTTGTTATTTACTTTTTTGTTTATTAATCATTGTTTTTGATTGAGTGTAAATGAAGAAAAGAAATAAGTATAATGAATTAAAGAATATTCTAATGAAAATAGAAAAATTAAAATATGTCAAAATAATTCCAGTATTAATTTCAATAAATGGATTAAAAAATAACTCAAGTAATAGATTAATTAAAGAAATAAAAATTGAAATTTACATTTTTAAAGAAATTAAAAACCTTGTCATAAAAAACATGATGGATGTCATGGAATACTGCTTCTATCATAATCAAACATACTCCGTAGAGCTGCTAAAAAAGACTCGTTGTGATTACTCTTCCCTAAGCCAGGAACAATAGAAACTAGTTTTATTAATACTTAATTAATTGCTTTTTGTATTTATTTAAGTTTTAAATTTATTGAATTATAATTTTATAATTTTTATTATCTTTTTATATTATTTTTCTATGGTATAATTTGACAATAGTGTGATACATCATATACTACGTAATGAGAAATTTCTATCTTTTTGTGATATATAACATTTCATTGTATTATTGTTTTTAAAATATCATTTTCTATAAATAGATTTTTATTTTTAGAATAAATACAGATATTTTTGATGTATTGTTAGATATTTTGAGATATTCCATTTAAAATGAAAGAATCTTAAATAGTCTGATGTATTTGAAGTATTATATCTTCGTTATTTTCATCTATTTTAGATATTTTTTGAAATAATAAAAAATATTTTATAACTATTCCATTTTTTGAATATTTAAAATTTGTTATACTTTTTGTATAGTTTTATTTGTTAAATTTAATAGAATTAAACCCTATACTAAAATTTAACATTTAATTTTAATAAAAACAATAATGACTTAATAACTATTCTTAGTCAAAATGAGCGTTAATAATGAGAATGCAATGAAGCACGATGATTCACAAGAATCAGATAGTGCTGAAACTCTTAATATTATTGACCTCATCTTCCAACGGGAGGATGAAAGAAGTTCAATAATCTGAAGCAAGCTTTCAGTATTGAAAAGCTTGCTTATTAACGCAGTAGAGGATATAGACCAATTCCTCTACTACTTTGACAGAATGAATAGCGACTCGCTCGCTTTTTATTCTACCAAAATTATTGGTGAGTTCAGAAAAGCTACCGATGTATGTCAAGAGCTCAAACGCTCTGGAATATTGTCGGTTAAAGGGATATCTGTTGATGGCAAACCTTTTAAAGGCAACACTTCAGAGAATGCCTGGAAGGTGAATAAAATAGAAATTGATTAATTTCTATATAATCTAATTCTTTTTTCTTATTTCTTGTTTAATTTCATTTCTAAGTAATAAAATTATTTAAATATTTTTATTTTTATTTTTAAAAAAAAAAACATAAAAAAAGAATTATAGATAATTAAATTGAAGAATTATATATTTTGTATTTTCATAAAATTCATAATGAATATATTTTTGACATAATAAAAGATATTTTATAACTAATACATTTTTTGAATATGTTAAATTTGTTATACTTTTTGTAATTTATTGATTTAATTTTTTAAAAAGAAAAAATAAAATATTCATTCAGTTTTAATGTCCTATAGACAAAACAAAAATAATATTTTTAATATTAAAAGAAAAGAGCAGGAACGCCGTCGACAAAGAAGACGACAACAACTGCTTAATGATCGTCGCACCATAGAACCTCGTGTTGGTAGCGATGAACATCGTCGTCAACAAAGACGACGAATTACTATGACAAAGAAGGATTATGAAAAGATAGAAAAAACAATGACTACCTTTTCTAATCCATCTGACTTAGATGGCTATGATGAGTTAGAAAAAACAGCAACTAACTCACATAGCAATGCTTTCTTCGAGAACCATAGAGAGCTAGAAAAAACAACAACTAGATCTTATGGTTCTGCCGGCTTTGAAACGATCGGGGATCGTGTTCGAAATCGTAGAGAAGCCGTGACAAAATCAAGAGAGCCAGAATGGCAAGCTAGTCTTGGAGAAATCCAAGCACCCCCTTACGAGGCTATAGACTCTCTTGCGAAAGAGAAGGCTAGCGGGGCTTTTGGAGAGTACGGGGCTGGAACTATCAGTGCTAGACTTAGTGGTGATAGACCGGTCAGCGGAGCTAGCCCCACTACGCCTTCTTTTTCACCAGATCCCCTTAATGACCCCTCTCAGGACGCCCCTATGAATCCCCCTGAAGAAACCCCCTTTGTCCCCACTAATGACCCACCTAATGATGCCCAAATGATGGAGGATACCTTAAGTGATGGTGAGGTTGCTACTCTACTAGAGGAAATAAACCATGAAGAGGAAAATGCTACCTTAGATTTCCTCACTCTAGATAGAGTACCACCTACAGAAAATGAAACACATCTCCTCCAACTGGCAAGAGCAAATAATACAGATGACGAGATTGAATTTACAGTCATCAGAAAAAGAGATTTTGGGCTAGAAAATACTGCGCAAGCATGGCGTGGTATGTTAGGGGAAACCTATAGAATAAGTCGATTAATTAAGGAACATGGCTTAATTCCCCTGGTAGAATTAGTATTTGGTGGAAGGCGGCGACGATTTATTATTAACTTAGAAAATGTTGATCCGCAAGTATTTATTAATAAATGTGTGGGATTTGAAGTTGGTATAGAAGAATTTTGGAGGAGATATGATGATGAAGAAAGTGAGTTAAATATTCCACCAGGAAAAATTGTAAAAGAAATCATCATTACAATATTGAAACCTCCTCAACGACAACGAATAGAAGGTGCGTTATTTAATTATTATTTGGTTGAACATTGGGCACCTCTAGAACATATCCTCAAAAAAATATCAAATCTATAGTAAAGAGGATATAGTACAAATAGAAAACTGTTTTATTCATTGTTTAGAAAATAGTAATATCTTAAGAAAGAATGAAATTGATAAAATAAGAACAAAGTTAAAGGGGAATACTGTGACAAAAAAAAAACTATGATACATTTTGCAGAAGAATTTAAACTCAACATAATTCTTCGATATTATAATGGAGAAAAAATAGTCACAAATAATATTAAACATGGTGAAAGAACAATTAAAATATTTTTAATACGTTGGAAGAATAATTTTCATTATGTACCTGATGAAAAAGTACCATTAACTACATACTTTATTCATCATTATGAAGAAATAGTAAATTATTGTAATGAAAATGGAAAGGATATAGAAAAATTCTTCAATGTTACTAAAAAAGAAGGGGAAATATATAAACACTCTCTAAATAATTATATTCCAGTATATAAATGTTTAAGTCTATTGAGAGATGCTGGAGCTATTAAAGAAATTGTAAGAAATGATATGATTAAGAAAAAATATTATGACTCTTTTCTATTCTCACCAGAAAATATTTCTTTAACATATGAAGAGTCAAAATTAATTGTAGAAGATAAAAAGAGTGAAACTACTAATACATTGTTGTTTGCTGATTTTGAATGTTTCACCTCTGGTGATTATCACAAGCCATATTGTATTATTGTTATGAATGAAGTTGGTGCGTGGAAGAAATTTTATGGTATGAATTGCGCAGAAAGATTTATTGATTATCTTCAAACTATAGAGTCACCCCTTTGTTACTTCCATAACTTAGGATATGATGGAAGATTTTTAGCAAAATATGGAATTATTAATATAGTTAAAAAGGGGAAGATGATATATAAAATGACAATAAAAATAAATGGAAAGAAGATAGTATTTAAAGATACACTTGCTTTAATACCAACAAGCATATCTAATTTTAAAACATTCTTTAAATTAGATGGAAATTATGAAAAAGAAATATTCCCTTATAATTATTATAATGAGGAGACAATGAGAATTGGAGTAATTGAAAATTGTTGGAATAAAGAAACACCTAGTTGGTCATTAGAAAAAATTGCACAATTTAAAGAGAATTTAATAAAAAATAGGTGTTGTATAAATGAAACCGAATTTAACGCAGAAAAATACTGTGAATATTATTGTTTAAGGAACGTATTAGTGTTAAGAGAAGGATTTTTAAAATATAAGAAGATGATGAAAGAAAATTTAAATTTGGACTGCACCCAATTTTCCACCTTAAGTGCATTATCTTATTATTACTTTAAAAATAACTGCTTTGTAAAAGATTTCTTATTTGAATATACTGGTAATGTAAGAGAGTATATTAAAAAAGCAGTATATGGTGGTAGAAATATGTTAGGTGAAAATAAAAAACATATGGTTAATAAAGAAATAGTAGACTTTGATGCTTGCAGTCTTTATCCATCAGCAGTTGCAAGACAATTTCTTCCTTCTGGAGCACCCCGGGTTATGAAGAAACCAATACAGTGGTATCTGGAACATCTAATGGGTGAACAACAATATGAAACTACACAAGAACGATTTATCTCATATTTTATTGTGACTATAGAGATAACAAAAGTAAATAAAAAAAGAAAGATGCCAATTATTATTAAGAAGGTGAATGGAATAAATCAATATGTAAATGAACCAACAATCATGACAGTAGATTCAATTTACTTAGAGGATCTACTTAAATATCAAGAAATTGAATTTAATGTTAAAGAAGGAATTTATTGGGATGGGGGAAAGGCTAGTTTATTCAAAGAAAAGATTAAAGAAATTTATGATATAAGAAAGCAAAAGAAAGCAGAACATGATCCGAGTGAAGTAATATTTAAATTAATAATGAACTCCTGTTATGGCAAAACTATTCAGAAGCCAATCATGGAAGAAAATAAACTATTTAGGACAAAAAGAAAAATGCTTTCTTATTGGAAAAGAAATTTAGAAGATATCCTGTCAGGAGAACAAATATATGATTCTGACATTTGGATATTAAATGTTAAGAAACAATTGGACGAATTCTTCGTTCCTAATATTATTGGGGTTCTTATTCTCTCCATGTCCAAGAGAATAATGAATGAATTAATTTATTTATGTGAAGATTTGGACATTGATGTTTATTATCAGGATACTGATAGTATTCATATAAAGAAAAGGATCTACCAGGACTTGAGAAGGAGTTTAAAGAAAAGTATGGTAGAGACTTAGTTGGTTCTGAACTAGGTCAGTTCCACTTAGACTTCCCCCTGTTAAAGGAAAACCATCCTGGTCAATTAAGTCTATCTTTCTAGGTAAGAAGTTTTACCTTGATGTTCTCACCAATGAAGATGGTGATATAGATTATTTAATTAGAATGAAAGGAATCCCCAAGGATGTGATTATTGGGGTTGCCAATGAAAAATTTGAAGGGGATGTAGTTGCTCTGTATGAGTATCTTTATATGGGTAAACCACTCACCATTGACTTAGCTAAGTATGGATCCCATTTTGAAATAGAGCGTGATTTTAAAGTAAAAAGTCTGAGTGAATTTAAAAGAACAATTAAATTTTAAAAAAGAAGCTCTCAATTAAGTCTAATTGATTCTTTTTTCTTATTATTGTGTTAGTTTTTCTTGTTCATAAGGTGATAGTGATGATAAATTCTTTTTATTTAAAAGAACATCATTATAAAGTGTTTTTCCATAATCTTTAATAACATCTTTTATTTTCTTTCCTTCACTAATTTCTGTGAGTGCTTTTCCATTTGTTTCATACCATTTTGGTACTCTATCTAATACTTGATCTATTATTACACCACCCGGAAGAAATGATGCTATTCCTTTTGAAATAGGAATTAATTTAGTTGTTATATTACCTGTTGTTTTATATAACTTCCCTCCTATTCCTGCTATTTTCTTTCCTGCTGTCTTAATTATATTCTTTAACTTTTTGATAAATCCAAATTTCATAACAATTAATTAAGAATAAAGAGTTAATTATTTATAGATAATCTTCAATATCATAATCTTCATAATCTTCTTCATTATTCATTTCACTTTCATTACCATTGAGTCTTTTAGCAAATAAAGCAGATTTAGGTGATACTCCTGTTCTTCCTTTAGGTTTTAATGAAATATGTTCAGGTACTTGATTAATAATTTTACTTGCTGTTTTAGTAATATCATTTGGTATTTCATTTTTAACTTGATTTAAATATTTTTTAGTTGCTCCAACAACATTTTCACCTGATGCTATTCTATTTAATACTTCACTTGTAGGTTCTGCTATTTTACTAATTACTTCTGTACCTTTTTTAATTATTTCACCACCTGGAATAAAATCTGATGCTATAGAAATAAGTGGTTTTGCTTTTTCAATTACATTCCCACCAAATTTCGCACCAGAAGCTAATAGTGCTGCAACTTTCTTTAATCCTTCTTTGAATCGCTTCCAATTACCGAACTTCATGAATGAAATAAAAGATTGAACTAAGAAATCAAAATAAACAAGATGAATTATAATGTTATTAAAGCATTAGATCAAGAAGAGACAGGTGACCTTATCAAATACTTCAATTATACAGATGGAATACTTGAAGCTAATTCAGGTGTTCATGATAATAAATGTTTATCAATAGATTCATCTGATCCACCATGTCCTGTACAAAAAGGAATGTATACTAAAGTAAAATTGACAGATGAATCAATTCAAATTACAAATATAGATAAATCATCTATTACTGCATTAGTTAGAATTCAAATTAAACCAACTGAACAATTTTGGACACAAATAAAAGATAGTCAAGAAGGAGATATTTCAGGATTTCAAACAGGAAGATTAACAGCAATAGAATATTTTGTAGGATTAAAATCATCAACACATTTATTTGATGCATATCGTGTATATTCAAGAAATAAGAAAACAGCATGTGAACAAACAGAAGCATTATATGAGAATGCAGCTATTAGAATGTTAAAAGCACAAGAAGAATTAGATTATAAACCAGGAATTTATACACAATGGGAAGCAGCATATAAACATGAAGATAATGTATGTGGATGTTATTTTAATCTTCAAGAAATTATTAAAGCACCAAATAATACTATTGAAAAAGAATTTGAAGTAATTATTCCATTAGATGATTTATTACCATTTGCTGCTATGAAAATGTTTCCTAATGGAATTTTTGGAAATTTAACACTTGAAGTTAAAATGGCAATTCAACAGAATTTTGTTATTTGTCAATGTAATCAAAATACTATTATAAATAAAATTAGTAAACAAATCAATTCCCCAGTTAAAGGAAATTCATTAGTACTTAGTATTGGAATTGATCAAATGAAAGAAAGAGATTATTATGGAGTATTAAATAGTAAACATGAGAATTGTTCATTTACACAAATTGGAGATACATTTATTACATCAATGATGTCATTACAAAAAGATAGTAATCATGAATTAGGTGTTCTCACTCCAAAAAATATTAAAAGTTGTTTTACTATTACAGATGGAAGTTTAAGATATTGTAGAACAAATATTAATGGATTTAATATTAAAGATAGTGTAATGAATGAATTAATAGAAAAATATCAAACAAAAGAATTAATTATTCCATCACAATATGTTGATTATCAAGCATTTTCACAAAAACCATTAAGTAATGGTTTAAAATGTAATACTACTTATGCTATGACTAATGTAAGTTCTTTAATGTTTTTATTCCCTAGAACTTCAAATGAAGTAACATGTAGTAGAAATCCTTTATTTGCTTCTTTACAAATGCAAATTGATAATAAACCTTATCCTGATAAACCTTTCTCTACTGTTGAAAAATCTCATACTATTTATAATATTACTAATGCTGGCTTAGATAATTTATTCTCCCCTTCAAAAGAATTTGCTTATTCATTAGAATGTAATGAACTTGATCCTTCATTTGTTAATAATTATAATCCTGAAATTCAATATGCACTTCCACTTAAAGATAATACTTCATATTGTTTCTTATGTAGTACAGAAAGATTAAGTGGTTATGGAACATTTTGTGATGGAATTACTAAGGATAATGCACATGTAACACTTACTGCTACTTTATTACCATTTAAACAACTTCATCCCTATTTGAAAAATCCATGGACAGAAGATATAAATGATAGATGTCCAATTATGCTTGTATGTCAAGATTGTTTCTGGAGATGTACTGTTCAAGGAGGTTGTGAATATATTTGTAATAACAAATATTTTGTTAAAGAAAAAACAGGAACAGATTAAAATTAAAATTAATTCAATTCTTTATAATATTTTAGATAATTAGCAGAATATATTTCAAGATATAAATTATTCATATCATACCGTATCTCTGGTTTTAATGGATGAGTGCTCATTCTTTTAGTTATTATTTTATCATTAACACCAAGAAAAATTAGATAAATTGATGAACGTGATAAACGAGAGTTTCTTGTTACCCATTTAGAAAATAGTTCTGATGCTAATGCTTTTGGTGTTAATAATTCATTTGTTCTCATTATTCCTTCTACTTCTTCTTCATATTTTATTATATATTTAGTAATTATTTTATTTGCTTGTTCTTTTAATATTTTGATTTCTTGAGTATTTAATAAATCATCTGTTTCTTCTGGATCCCAGAATGTATCAATTAATTCAATTGGTTGTCTTTCAATAAGGAGTATTCTTTTATTTTGTTTCTTTTCTATTTGTTCTTCATAATCATTTAAATATTCTTTAAGTATTTCAATGAGATGTTTCTTTTTATTTGAATTTTCTTTACTTGTTGTTTGTAGTACTTTATTTATTTCATCCCATCGGACATGTTCTTCTATTATTCCTACTTCA